AGGTTGCTGTGAGCTGTGATGCCATGGCACTCTGCCCAGGGGGACAGCTTGAGGCTCCTGTCTCAAAAAAAAAAAAAAAAGATTAGGTTACCTTGATAGGGTTATGTCAAAAGTTGTATGTTGAGTGGATTATCAGATGTCACATGATGTTTAATTGGATCAATGTAATGTTTAATTGGATCAATGAGGTCATTGCTGCTTTGGGCCCATGTACAAAATTCCCTATATAAGCCAACTGCAAATAAAGAAGCTTGCCATTTTGCCTGAGCGAGCAGATGGTCACCTTTATTTAAAACACAATTTCAGGAGGCGGCGAAAGAGGGCAGAGGGCAGTGGGATGGGGGTCCTGTGGCAGCGCTGAAACTTCTGGTGGGCGTTCGTGGTGCTGCTATGCTGAGGGGGCTGTAAGCAGACGGCCTTCCGCTCTCACCATTTCTGTGTTGGAATACAGGATCCTTCCCTGGGGAGCCAGTTCCTCCCCGGCCCCTGAGCCACGCCCATCGCAGCCGCCCCAAACGAGCCAGGTGTGAATTAATGATTTGAAAGCAGCTGAACAATGGAGCCAGACATCATTCGAAGGTACTCTTCATCCCCACCACCACTAGACAACGGAGCAGAGGATGATGACGGTGATGAGTTTGGGGAATTTGGTGAGTTTTCAGAAGTTAGCCCTTCTGGTGTAGGATTTGTTGATTTTGATACACCAGATTATATTCGTCCCAAGGAAGAGTTTGTTCCTTCAAACCATTTTATGCCAATTCATGATTTCTCAGAAAATGTAGATAGCCTTACAAGATTTAAGTCCATTAAAAATGGTAACGATAAGGACATCACTACCGAACTTTCTACTCCTGTGAAAGGGCAGTCTGATGTTTTACTTTCTAACACCAGCAAAGAAATAATTTCATCCAAAACTTTAGATACTTCCATTGATGTCATGGAAAATCTAGGAAATTTAAATAACGTAGTGGAGCAGGGACAGAATGTTGGAACACCTGAAAGTTTCTCTCCAGGAGATTTTAGACCTGATATGAATGTTGTTCATCAAAACAAGCGGTTAGAGAGCTGCAACGGTGAAAAGCCTCCTTGTCTGGAGATTCCAACAACTGGGTTTGCAGTGTTGGAAACTGTAAATCTTCAGGGAACAGATGATCTGGACAATGTAGCTGATTCAAAGGGACAGAAGCCTCTTAGCGCTCATAGTACTGAGTATAATTTAGACTCTGTACCTAGCCCTGCCGAGGAACTTGCAGATTTTGCCACATTTTCTAAAAAGGAAAGGATACAACTAGAAGAGATGGGACATGCAGTTTTAAACGATAGAGAAGCTCTAACCATTCAGGAAAACAATAAAATTAACACAGTCAATGAACTGCATTCTGTAAAAGAACTGTCTTTGGGTAGAAGCTTTGACAATGAAGGAGACACTGATGGAAAGGATCAAGTTTGCGGTTTAGAAATCAGCGTCATGACTAATGGAAGTCTTAGTGTTGAAAAACAAGGCCTTTCAACACTGCAACAGGATGAATTTTTCAATTCGAGTGTTCAGTCAAAGGCCAGGAGTTTGATAGACTCAGCTGATAATTCAGAAGCCATTAAGAGAGAACAACATAAAACTGAAGAAAAATCTGATTTATTTACTTCTAAATGTGCTGACCTATGCATGGATTCTATTAAAACTTCTGATGCTGATGATGAAGAAGAAAGTATAAAGTTTACTAATTTCCAAAGCCCAGACATTGGTCCCACAGAAGAAAATGTTTTGGATGATTCTATACATGTAAAAAATGGAGACAGTAGTAATGACTTTGTAACTTGCTGTGATACCAATGAGGACAATTTGGGTGACTCTGGCACAGCCAGCGGCACAACTCCACCTTTGGTTACTGGTACTCAAGATTCAGTGAGTGATGCCACTTTTGAAGAGTCCTCAGAGCACTTTCCATATTTTAGTGAACCAGGTCCAGATGATGACTTTGGAGAATTTGGGGATACAAATGCTGTTTCCTGCCAAGAGGAAGTGACATTTACCGAGTCAGAACTAAAACAGACTTTTGATAGTTTATCAGAGGGATGTCAGTTGGCAAGAAAGTCTAGTGGGATAGGCGATGACCCTGTTTCAAAACTGAAAAATGGGCAAGAAGGTGAGTTTGGAGATTTTGATTCTGTGCCAAATATTCAGGACGACAGTAATGCTTTTCAAGACTCAGATGATTTTGCAGACTTCAGTTCAGCTGGTCCTAGCCAAGTTGTAGATTGGCATGCTTTTGAAGATGAACAAAAAGATCGTTGTTCTTGGGCTGCTTTGGGGGACCAGCAGGCTACTGAATCTTATCATCGAAAGGAAGCCTGGCAGTCACATAGGACAGATGAAAATATTGATACTCCAGGAACCTCCAAAACGCACAGTGTCCCTTTAGCAACCTCCAAAGGAGCAGTTGCTAGTGGCCGTTTACAGGAATCTACCACTTCAATTCAGACAGCTTTACTAAACCGCCTGGAGCGAATTTTCGAAGCGTGTTTTCCTTCCATGTTTGTCCCTGATGCTGAAGAGGAAGTTACTTCCCTGAAGCACTTGCTGGAAACAAGCACCTTGCCAATAAAAACAAGAGAGGCCTTACCTGAAAATAGGGAACTGCTGGATGTGTGGACAGAGCTACAGGATATTCACAATGCACATGGCTTGAGATATCAGTGGGGCGGCTCCCACAGCAACAAGAAGCTTTTATGCTCTTTGGGAATAGACACCAGAAACATTCTCTTCACAGGCAATAAGAAGCAGCCGGGGCTTGGCGCCTGTGGCTCAAGCGGCTAAGGCGCCAGCCACATACACCTAAGGTGGCGGGTTCGAATCCCCAGCCCAGGCCCGCCAAACAACAAGGATGGCTGCAACCAAAAAATGGCCAGGCGTTGTGGCGGGCGCCTGTAGTCTCAGCTACTTGGGAGGCTGAGGCAGGAGACTCGCTTGAGCCCAGGAGTTGGAGGTTGCTGTGAGCTGTAACGTCACAGCACTCTACCCAGGGGGATAGCTTGAGGCTCCATCTCAAAAAAAAAAAAAAAAAAAAAAGAAGCAGAAGCAGCTGGTTATAGTGCCCATGTACGCAGCAGGATTGGGTATGTTAGAGCCCACCAAGGAACCACTGAAACCACTATCTGCTGCAGAAAAAATGGCTTCCATCGGTCAGACAGCCGCCATATCACCAGAGGTGAACCCATGTACATCTGGTCAATTCCAGGAGTCTCTACCACCCATCCAGTTTGACTGGAGTAGCAGTGGCCTTACTAACCCTTTAGATGGTGTGGATCAAGAGTTGTATGAGTTAACAACTTCTAAGCTGGAAATAGCCACCTCAAGCCTCAAAGTGACTGATGCATTTGCGAGACTTATGTCTACAGCAGAGAAGACAAGCACCTCTACCAGGAAACCGAAAAGAGAAGAGCACTTGAGTGAAGAAGCTGTTGAGGTGATCTCTGGCCTTTCCGACTTAACGTTCGTGCATGCCAAGGTGTTGATGTTCCCAGCCACGTTAACACCTTCCACAAGCTCCCAAGAAAAAGCAGACTAATACCTGATGTGAATCGGACACTTCCAATTGCTTTTCCTCTCCTCCATCCCTTCTCCTCCATCAAACGCATACCTGCTCTAATTAAAAAAAAAAATCAAATTCAGCTGATTTGTTGGTAAGCCACACTAGAAAGGTATACACAGTAATGTATATTTATTTACATGCTGACGTCCTAAATTTATATTAGAAAAATGTAAATAATCAGGGTCAACATTTTTGAAGATTTATTCTTTTTGTGTTGCTGGGGTGTATACATTTATGTCTTTGTGAAATACACTGGTGGTGTCCTTCTTACAAAACTTTTGAAATTAAAAAAACCCTCAAATCTCTACTGTCCGTGAAATCCCCTTCAGTCTTTTCGGATTACGTTGAATTTCCTCTTATTTTTTATATCATATGTTCAATTACTTTTGCTATCTTAAGTAAGTTCCAATGTCCTTGTTTAACTTTCTAAATGTATGTGTGTGTGATGGGTTTGTTTCAGATCTGGCTTTTGTTAACATTTTGGGGCTATTTTTAATCTTTTCAATGTGGCTGATTACTGTTTGGCCTTTTGCAAGGTACTTCATCGATTGCTCCTGTGGTATAGGGTATGGATCATTGTCAGAACTTGATTGGAGGGGTTTAAGAGATTGTGTCTGTTTTGAATCAGTTTGATTTAGAGAATGACCAAATTATATGAATGTCTTACAGTGAAATTTACATGTTACTGACTTTTTTTTGTTCTATCATTCCACTATTTTTTGAGGATTTTGCACAGTGTAAAATGACAATATCATAGATTGCTATGGTTTAGGCTGTATATACAGTGAAAACTATGGGTTTTAAATGCTTGGGGAAATTCCTATGGAAAAAAGACATGTAGAAGAACCTCTAACAAGGTTAATGTGCATGCCCAAGGTCTTTTGAGATTTCAGTGTGTAAATTTCCTTTTAGCTTACACAAAAATAAAATAATTAAAAAAAAAACACAATTTCAATAAGTGCTTATTCTCCCTGACATCGCTTTTCCATGAGACCCTTACGGCAACAAGTTATATTTCAATAAAGCTGTTTATTGTATTTTAAAACAAAAATGGAAGTCTTGGGTTCCACTGCCTCCAGAGTGCATCCACCCTCCCGATCACTATCCTCAAGGCACCCGACCCCACACAGCCCCTCTGCCTAACCCAAGCCACGAACTAGCCCTCCCCAAGTCCCCCCCTTCATGTTGCTGCAGTTCTCCCCCTGCCCTGCCCTGCCCTGCCCTGCACACAGGAGCCGTGGGAAATGTGTCTACTAAAACCCAGCTTGGTCACCCCTTCCTCCTGCCGTCCCCTGGCCTCCCCAGTGCCCTCTGCACCTTGCAGCAGCCCCTGCTCTGTCCGCCTGGAGGGGGGCAGCCTCCTGCGAGCCCAGGATGTGGTCTTACCCACGTCATGTCCTCCCAGCCCCCAGCACAGTGCCCAGCATGCTTTCATTCATTCTTCCCACCCACCCATCTACCCCTCACAAAACGCCTCCTGACCACCTACCCTTCATGAGGCCTGGGGAGACGCTGGACAAGGAACTGTCCAGAACTGCCACTGACTCAGGAGAGAAGTGTGAGGTGTGTAGGGGCAGCAGGGGCTGCAAGCCCCACCTCTTGCTCCTGAGGTGGCCCAGAGGGAGCCGTGTTGTCTCCAAGCAGAACTCAATCCCTATAGACACCCTGAGTCCCCTCAGCCCCACTACACTTCCTGAGCTCCATCCTGATGCCATGTGGCCACAGCCCTAACCCAGCTGAGGTTCCCCCCACCAAGCAATGGGGCAGGTCACCAGCTTAGCAGCTCCACAGATGGGCAGGACTTCTTGGCGGGTCTCTGTGCCTAGTGGGAAAAGAGAAGGTCCCGACAGTAGTGCCACAGGGCCCCCCACAGGGACAGCAGTCCAGCTCCCAGCTCTGGTTTCACACTCACTTGCTGTGATTCTAGAAGTCTCTCTTGCAGCCCCATGTCCCTTACTGTGGCTTACTCCACAGAGACGATACACTTCTATCAAACACTGGTGGGTCCCAGCACCCTTGCCACAGGGGGTGGTTGCCAGGACTCTGCAGGCCACTTCTATCACTGGGGACCGACCCTGACAGCAGGTGTGCCCCCCAACTCAGACACAGGCTACCATCTCCTCCTGCCCCACACTGACCGGGAGCTGTGCCAAGCACCACTTCACTATGCTTCTGCTCTTGCCCAAGGCCTCCCTCCACTGTGGCCAGAGAAGCCGGACAGCCTTGGAGCTGCCTCTGGGAGGGGCTGGGGCTCCCTAGTCCCCACTGCCTCTTCCTCCAAGTAAAACCTGATCTGGGGCACCCCCCTCCATGCCTACCATGGCTGGCTGGTGACAAGAACGCTCTGCTGATGGGAGGAGGGGTGCATGTGTCCCTAGCACGGAGGCAGCCATGGTTAAAACTTTCTCAAGAGGTGAACAGGGCTGAGATGCAGGGGAATGTACGGGGTGGGATGCCTCAGATAACTGAATGGTCAAAGGGGAGGGTGACTGTTAGAACCCTCCAAGTGTGTGGCTGGTGCAGGGAGCTGGGAACACACTGGGGAGAGTCGGGGAAGCTCAGGGCGGCAGCTGGGGGTCCTCCTGGCTGCATGCACAGAGCTTTCCTCTCTGGGAGCCACCAGGCAGAAGAGCTGAGGAGCTGGCCCAGGCCCAACCCCAGCTAGGGAGCTTGGGGAGCCTGGATTCTCAAATTCAGCAAGTCAAATCCAGCTGGGCCTGGCCAGGTTGCAGGGGCCACAAGACACAGGATAGGGCCATCAAGAGCAGGGCACTCGGAAATCCAGGACCCTCTGAAACCTCTGGGCCATTAGCTCTTCCTCCCCTGCTTGAGCTCCTCACGACCTCTGCCTCCCCAGATGCCCCGCACCTGCCACATCTCTGCTGTGGGCAGACGCCATCCTGGGGTATTAGTCTGCGCCTTGCACTAGAATTTTTCTTTTTATTCTTTTTTTTGAAGAGCTACCAAAACAGTGTGACATAGTCATTGAACTCTTTTTGGTACTGTTTAATGGTCCCCCAGAGATTTTCACTGGGCTCATTGTCCCAGATGACCACAGTGACGATTTAATTGTTTTTGCCTTTGTCTCATTCCCTAAGACAAGCAGCACTTTCATTGCTTTTAGCCACAACCTGGCCAATAACCAGTCCAAGTTTCCCTCCATTTTTTTCTGAATCAATTTCTGTGTTAGGGTTGAATGGTGGACCCCACAAAGATACATCCAAGTCAAATTCCAGAAACCTGTGCACATTCTCTTATCTGGAAAAGGGGTCTCTGCAGGCATAATCAGGACCTTGAGACCAGAGGTCCTGGATTATGTGAGCAGATCCTAAAGAGGCAGAGGCGGGGTGATGCCCAGGACCCCCCGAAAAACAATGTGTCCTTCTTAGAGGCAGAGGCGGGGCAATACCCAGGACCCCCAAATAAAATGATGTGTCCTTCTTAGAGGCAGAGGC